TACAATGAAATGTCTACAGGAAAACCACCAAACACAGAACAAGGGCCGCCACTGTCATTCTCCTCCTCTTCCTCCTCCTCCTCCACCGCCACCCTTCCTTCTCCTTCTTTCTCTTTCTCCTTCTCTCCTCTCTTCCCTTCCTGTCTCCTTCCCTTGCACCTTCCCCACTGCTGGAAATTCCAACTTCTGGGTCTTGGTGAGAAGCAGTTGGTTTCAGAAGAAGGCTGTGAGCTGGACGCTTCCATCCCTACCACGGGAGAAAGGCTGCCAAAAGTGATGGACTTGGCTAGAAATGGCAAAACCGACTAGTTTGATTAAAAGAAAAGAACACCAGGGCTTTCGTTTCCACGGGGAAACCGCTTCTGAACTCCGTGCTTGAGGTGGAAAAGAATGAAACTCTTGACTTGGCGTTTTATGGATTAGACTGATGGGTCTTCACAAAAACGACTTGTTTGCATTATGAAAAAGCAAAAAGCGGTGATTGGATGTTAATGCCTTTGTTTTAGTGTAACAAGAGAGAGTGGGAAGTCAGGGCTTCTTCCCTCCATCTTATCTTTCCTCACTTCACTTCCCCCTCCCCGCTGCTCTTCTATTTCCATTTCCATTTTGTATTTGATAATACTCTAAAACTTTAAAAAATGTTTAAAACCCCCAAAAAGAAGAAGGCTGGGAGCTGTCCAGTTGTGGTACTGAAGTGCTTGCCAAAAAGAGGAAGGGCTCTCCATTCGAACAACGGTTTAGAGGATCCTTTCTTTTGCCGGATGTGGCCATTCTCCTTGGGCGCTGTCCAGTTACGCCCAGCATTTCTTTTCTTTTTTAGAATCAGAATAAAGCTGGAAGGGACCTTGGAGGTCTTCTAGTCCAGCCCCCCGCTCAAGCCTTCCAGACAAGTGACTTTTCCAGTCTCTTCTTAGAAACCTCCAGTGATGGAGCACCTACAAGTTCTGGTGCCAAGTAGTTCCACTGGTTAATTGTCCTCACTGTTAGGAAGTTTCTCTTTAATTCCAGGTCTTTTTCTTGACCGCATTCTTATTTTTCCTTTCTTTTTTTTTTATTTTTTCTTTCTCTCTCTTTTTCTTTTCTGTACGTTTTCTTTTTCTTATTATTCAATTGTATTCATTTTTATCCTTTAATTGTAAGTTTTAATGCGACTGCTATTTAGAAAAAGCAATGTCAAATACTTGCCAAGTATCTAAATGGTACCTGTTTTCTTCATCTTTTCATTTATGGACACCTAACATCAAAAACGTCATCCAAAAAGCACAACAAGGAATGTTCTTTCTGTGCCAACTCAGGAAGCTCAAACTGCCCAAGGAGCTGCTGATCCGGGTTCTACGGAGGAATGATGGAGTCTGTCATCTGCTCCTCTATAACTGTCTGGTTTAGTTCTGCAACCCAACAAGATGGACACAAGCTTCAGAGGGTAATTAGGACTGCAGAGAAAAACATGGCTACCAACCTGCCTTCCATGGAGGACACCTGCATACAGCACGAGTCCAAAAGAGGGTTGTGAAAATATCTATCCATACAAGAAGAATGCTGCTTCAACTTATTTTTTGTTCTGTAGGCAACACATTTTTCTTATTTCTTATTTTTTTGCTTATTCCCAAGGCTCAGAAGCAAAAAAAAAAAGATATAAAAATATGTAGCTCAATCATTATTCTGCACCTTTTATAAATTTATGCAGATTAGACAGTAGGAACGATCTATTTCAGATGATTTATTCTGCAATGATGGATCTTTCACGTAATTTCCCAGGGTTTTGCTGGGATGAGAAAGAATGCCGAACAAGCCATTCATAACCAAAGAATGATTGAGTGATTTCTTGTCTTGGGTTTTTTTCTGAATTTTTGATGGCTGGCAGCCAGTCATGGCCACTCTGGATCCTCTCATCACTGAAGTCTGCTTGGTCAAAAATTCCAGACCCATTTTACAAACTGCCAGGGAGTGATCCCACCAGGGAAGTTGCTGTGAATTATGAGCTCTGAAGTTGATAACGCTTTCAGAAACAGAATACGGAACACAATACAGAAGCCTGATGATGGCGGATGAGATTCTGCCGAAATGTTGTTACAACTTTAAAAGCACAAGTATCATCATGACGCTTCTGTGGGATGGATGGATCTCTCTCTCTCTCTCTCTCTCTCTCTCTCTCTTTCTCTCTCTCTTTTTTTTTTTTTAAAAAAAGCAAAATCTGGGTATAAAATTGGGCCAGCACTGCAGTCGCTAAGCCATTTTAAATTGTCATTTTTTCCAGAACAGTTAATGCGGATGATGAGTGTAGTAGATCATAAAACTCTGATCACGGGGCTGCAGACACTGAATGTCACACAATGATAAATGGGCTATTTAATCATCGTTTCTCTCTCTCTCTCTC